TGATTAATAGCATTAATTCAAAATGAAATTAAGACGGATGTTGTTTAAGGAGCTCAAAGGATGGCCTTAAATAACCATATATAGATATTAATAAAAGATTATTTTAATTTGATTAATAGCATTCATTCAATTATCTTAAGCGTTAATTTCCACAATCATAACCCGATATTCTAATTGGCGAACCACAATTCTTCTTCGATGGAACGGTGATTAATCCAGCCTCCAATGTCCACGAGCTTCTTGAATGACCTGTTTGTATCAATTCTATGTATCCTCTCGATTTTTGCTTTCTGATATCACATGTATACATATTTTAGTTTCTAAATTTGATTTTACATATTCATATTTATACAGATCGGATAAGAATTTTGTTACATCAAAATAAAACTTTTTTTGGTTTCAAATCTTTATATTTTTTATTTGTAATTTCAGTATGTATTTTAAAATTTTATCATTATTCATTAATATGTTAAATAATTTTTTGAATTTGAAGGCTCATTATGTTGTTTGTAGTCATGATGTGAGCTTGACAGAGTAGAGAAATTGGCAATGTAAAGTGTAGTCATCATTTTTCTACATAATTTGTCTGACATTTTTATAGGTTTTCTAGTTTTTTTTTCCCTTGAAAGTAGTAACAAGAATATTGTCTAAATGTAAGAAGTTGAGGGATTATATCATGAATGTCGAAACAATAGAGGAAAGTGGAAATTACACAAAACAAAAGTTTTCGAGATTCAATTTCAAATTTCAGCTATTAGATTTCACTTTTCAAAAATTAGATATTTCATTTTATTAATATTAAATATTAATTATACAATTTTCATTCCAAACACCGGAGGCGACACAGCAATTTCACCACCGGGGCGACACAGCAGACACCTCTGCAACCATAGCAGCGAGCGACGGCGTCATCCCCATGTGTTGCAGATCTGAGAGCGGTGGCTTCATCTCCAGCATCACGACATAACAACTAGGGGTGATTTTCATGTTGTCGTGGTTTTCAACAGTGGCGGTGTAATAGATCTACTTTGCGATGGTTAGATTTGATTTGCGGTGATTTTCATGCTGCCACGATAGTGATGGTGAGGTACCGCGGCGGTGAGATACTGACGGTGGTGGTGAATCTGGTTGGGGTGTGGCGGTAGTGTTGTTGGTGATGATGTTGCTTATGAAGGTTTAAGGTGATTTTGGCATTGTTGGGAGTTTTTGTCCGTTGTGCAGGTGGACGTGCAACGGCAGTGGTAGATTAGGCAACGATGACGACAGTGAAGGTGGTGGTTGTAGGGGCTCTAGGGACCTTGGCAGGGGACACCCTTTAGCTGGCTACTGGCACTGCGATGATGTTGGTGCGGTGGTAGGTTACAGTGGTGGTATAAGTCATGATGGTTATGCTACAGGTGGTGGAGGATCTGGTTGTGGTACGGTGTTTGGGTGGTGGGGGTGTGATGGTTGTGGGTGGGTAGTGGTGTTGGTGATGATGTTGGGTACGGTATTCGAGACGATGGTTTTGTTGTCGGGAGGTAGAGTTGGTGGTTCTGCGACGGTGGTTTGAGCTGTTGCAATGGTGAGGTGGTGGTCACAAATGATTTGGTTGATTGTGACCAAGAAATGGTTGGTGTGTGACCAATAAACAATATATGACTAATGAAATAGATCAATTGTGACCAATAAATACTCTGTGACCTAAAAATTTATTAATTTGTGATCAATAATTTGATAAATTATGACATAAATATAATTTGTGATCAATTAATTTGATGTTTTGTGGCTATAAAATAAAGTTGACTTATAAAATTTGTAATTTGTGACCAATAAATAATATGTGATGATTAATTTGATAGATTTGTGATCGATGAATAAATTGTGACGTATAAATTTTTGATTTGTGACCGATGAACAAATTGTAACCTATAAAATTTTTAAATTGTGACCGTAAAATAATTTGTAATATATAAAAATTGTGATTTATGACCAATATATGAATTGTGACCTTAATATATTTAATTAATAAAATATATGTTTAATTAATTAATTTATAAATAAATAAAATCTGAGATTTGAAATTTTAAACTTAGTTTCTTAAATTTGAAATTTGTGAAACTTAATCTCTTAATTATGAAATCTTCCATAGAGGAAAATCGAAATGGGTATATGATGAGGTATGTGATTCAAAATTGTAAATTTATAATAAATACAAAATCTCCTGACCTCTCTATAGAAAATCCAGAAAATATTTTTTAAAATAGTTTTAATATTTCAAAAATATTACGCATTTCATTTATCCGATACAAATGTGAGTGATTAGTATAATGAAGTGCCTAGAAAACAATCAGTTGACGAGCCTATTCAATTGAAACAGGATGAACCCATTACAATTTTCAGCTTTTCCGATTTTTACTTCTCAAGAACAGGGAAAAAAAACTCACCATAATCTTCATTTTCACACCACATCAGGGCCGGAGCCATAAAATGATGTTATGATGGGTTGAAACTTAATTTTTTTTTTTTTTAATAAACTCACGCCACAAGAAATTGAGTTTAGGAGGCTATTCTTGTGACATTCACGATAAAAAAGTACATGGAGCTCAATGAAATAAAAAAAAGTTTAGATGTCTCACATCAAGATATTCAACTAAATCTTTGTATTTTTTTTTTT